TCCTCCTCCTCCTCCTCCTCCTCCCCTCTTGCGCAGCGGGCGGTTTTGCCCTGCTTCGGGACCTGGGCCCCAGGCACGGATCGATCCTGCCCGAAAAAGTGCGGAAGCCACACGGGGTCCGAGGGCCTCTGGTCGTGATCTGCTGGGATTGTTGCAGCTTCTTCGCAACGTCGGATCTCAGGATTAGCCGACGCCCTGGGGTTCCAGGCGTCGTCGAAGCTCAAGCCGCGGCGGCCTGTGGCCGAGCTTCGATGATCGTCAGGACGTGCATTAGCGTCAAAGCGCGCTTGTCCACCGAAGCCCTTCGATACGACGCAAGCGGTGTAAGAAGGGCTGGCTGGGCTGCGTGCAACCGCTGGAGCTGAATATGGTAAAACCCCTTGGGCTAACACACGTCATGAGAATCATCGAGAGTTCTTTGACCCCTTGGGGTCACCCTCCCTTGGCCCCTCCCAGGGGATCCAACCTCTCGGCTTGCTGCGAAGAGACGGGAGCTAGAGCTTGGTGGGCCGTGGAAACGGCATAGCCACGTTTAAAAAACACTGGCATTGATCTCATGGTTCACCGAAACCGTTTAAAACTATTCACCGAAACTGCCTGGGCAGTCTGGGAATCCGAAGCACGTACGGAACCGGTTCGAGGACGCTTCGGATCTCTTGTTCAAAAAAATGTGTCTGTGCATGTATGTGTATACTTATGTGCATGTACGGAAACGAAAGAAAACTGTGATCTTTACCAGGCAATGACAAAATAAACGAAGATATATTCTTCTCCTTAAAGAGAAACAAAAACAAACAAACAAAAATGCGCTGGAAATGTCAGAACGCAAAGAACATTCAAATAAAAAAAAACATGAAATATGAAACATCAAACACGAAACTGACAATGCCAAATGATACAATCAGAAATAAAACCAACCAAGATTTGTTCCCAGGGCCCACTAAGCGCTAGGACAACAAAAGAGGCCACTAAGACGACCAGAGATGCCCCAAGGGACCCCAAGACGCCCCCAGCCCTTGTTCCAGCCTGCGTCACCAGTTTGTGCCGTTGACCTGGGGAGGAGACGGGGCTTTACCCCTTTCCCGCTGCGCCAGACTATGTTGTTGACCCGGGTGATCTGGTCGCCCACGTGGAGCGCCTGCTGCGGATGAGCCTGGCGGGGGGGGAGAGCAGGTTAAGTGGGTGGCGAGGAAACAAGCAGGAGGACAAGGACGACGGCAACGACGACGAGGACGACGAGGACGACGCAAAGGAGGGGGCAAAGCCCTAGGGATGCGGCAGATGAACAGGACCCAGTGAGAGAGAGCACAGTGAGGGACTCGCTTCGGGAACGGCCCCGGGAGGCCCAGGCCCTGGCAATGCCCCCTGCTGCTGAAGGAGGCTAGGAGCGTCCCGTGAACGACACTGGCCGTTTCCTGGGCTGCTCCTCTTTCGCGCTTCCCCCCTTCCCCATTCCTTCACCCCTCGTGCTCCTGGTCCCCTATTTGCCACTCCTTACCCTCATCCTCTTCGTCTCACTGCCGTTCCTCCTGCTCCCCCTCCTGCGCATCGCATTCCTCCTCATCCGTATCCTCACCGTCTTTCACCTCTTCCTCCTCCCCCACCTCCTCCTCATCCTTCCTCTCCTCCCTCCTCCTCCTCCTCCTCCTCCTCCTCCTCCTCCTCCTCCTCCTCCTCCTCCTCCTGCCCCCCTCCTCCTCCTCCTCCTCCTCCTCCTCCCTCCTCCACCTCCTCCCCTCCTCCTCTCCTCCTCCTCCTCCTCCTCCTCCTCCTCCTCCTCTCCTCCTCCAGCCTGCCTCCTCCTCCTCCTCCTCCTCCTCCTCCTCCTCCTCCCTCCCTCCTCCTCCTCCTCCTGCTCCTCCTCCTGCTCCTCCTCCTCCTCCTCCTCGTCATCGACTCCATCAGCAGTAGGATCAGAGTCAGCAGCAGTGTCAGCATAAGCATCAGCATCAGCATCAGCATCAGCATCAGCATCCTCAGGATCATCATCACCATTATCATCATCGTCATCATCATGATAATCATCATCAGCATATTTCATCAGCAACGACATCAGCAGCATCCTCATGATCATCAGCATCAGCATCATCGTCAGCATCATCATCATAATAAGAATCAGCATCAACGGCAGCAGCATCACCATCATCAGAATCAGCATCACCATTGTCATCGTCATCATCATCGCCGTCACCAGCATCA